CCTCCTCTGCTCGGCCGCCGGGTGGCGTCCCTTGAGGGGGGGGGTACTGTCACGGTCTGAGGTATTTCCCTGCTGTCACTCCCTGTCTTTTGAGTTTCCCTCTGCAAGTGGGCGTGTCTGGAGGTGACCAAGCTGCAGCAGATCTGCTCATCAGCTGGCCAGGGGTATTTAAGCAGCTGGGAGACTCCTACACTTCGCTGGATGATTACTCTACCTGGGTACCTTCTAACAGCCGCTAGTTTATCTTGTTCAAGCTCTTTAAGCCTTTTGAGAATTAGATTGTGTTTTTGGATTTTTAAGAATTTAATGAGTTTTGGATTTTTGCCCTTTGACCTCCTGCTCTTGTTCCCAGACAAACCTACACACTCTCATCTTGGACTGGCAGAACTCTGGAGTCCACACCACCTGGATCTCCAACCCCGCACGTCTCTCAGCCTCTCCCCTGGCCAGAACCACCTCCAGCTGCCCACCTAAACTTCCTGGACCTCCATAAACTCGGCTCCCTCCACGTCTCACTTCTGGATCTCAGTCCCTGCAAGCCACTCAACTTAGACCGGACCACTCCTCCCTCAAACCAGTTCCGTCCTCTCCAGACCGTAAGTCCTCCGCACAAGTCTGACTTCCCGTTCCTTCCGCAAACTGGTTCTAACTCCGATCTGTCCACAGTTTTCCTGCACCAGCCTCCCTGTGCAAGAACTACGCTTCGTTTACGCTGCTCCCTTGGTTTCCCTTCAATAAATCCTTATTTAAACCTTTTAAACCGTCTCCGATCTGATTCTGTATGTCGTGGGTTAGATCACTTCACCACAACATGACAACAGCGGTGCTGGTGATGAATACACAGGAAATGGCATCCTGACCAATCACAAGCTTGCATTCTACGTCACTTTTGATGGATGTTTAAAATTTTGGGTGCGTCTCCTTCACCCTCTGTGAGCCCATTGGAGAGCCCTTGCGCCGACGCATAATGGCGTTGCGTGTCTTTGCCCCGACGCAGATGGGGAAGTATAAATCAGACTTAAAGAGCAAGTCACCCCATACCAGAGTCTTAATCCACTCCCACTTCCTGTTTGGAAAAATGCTAAAATTGCTGTTGCCTGGCAGACTGAGAGGGCAAGCTAAGACATACACACACAGGGTCAAAACAGCATTGTGACATCATATGGCACCAAGTGACATCATATGGTACCTCTTAGCCAATAGCGATAGCAGATTTAAATTCAAATGCAGTGCTGAGTTTTTGCCTGAAGAGGGTGCAAACGCTGACCGTTTTAGACAGAAAATGTAAATTTTAACTAAGATGCACTAAAGTGCCAAATTATTGGCTACACTTGTCTTCAGCACGATTAGACACTCATTTATATAGTTTATCAGGAAAAACAAGTTGATTTGGGTTGACTTGCTCTTTAAACTGAGCAGGTGAGACACCATCATACTGTCTAAATCAACCACCACTTTTTCTGGGTTCTGATCAGTGTCGACCGAGGTGAGCTGCAGACGTTTGGGATCTATTCGGTGGTTTAACCCCCTCAATCAAACCCTTTAATGCTGAGTGTCAAGCGGGGAGGCCTTGGGTCCAGTTTTGGTCTTTGATACGAGCTGACTGTGGATTTGAACCCACAATCTCCCAGCCTCAGGCCACTGAACAAGTCAATCAACATATTTACATGGATGCTCATTGCTGACTTGTTGATTAATGTGCAGTGTCCTATTTCTAATTAAAATCAATCAATCATCCGATCGATCAACCAATCCAAAAAATTGAACAATCAATTCAACTAGTAATAAAGCGATGCTCAAAACCTCAGAGCTTTAGCTTGATATGAAGTCGTTTTTCTTCTTTCTCCATCAACAAATCAAATACTAACTACCCCTGCTACAAATGATCATCGTCTTGGCACAAGAGCCTGCTATAATAAACACAGAGGAGTGTAAACACAGCCAAATTATTTCCATCAGACAAAATGATGTTGGCTGTAAACACATTATGCTCTACTTATGCGCACAAACAATGAAAGCAGTGGTTATCATTTTTAAATTTTTTTTTAGAAATTTTTGTTTTACATGTACTTCACAAAGTACCCTAATGGCGCAAAGCAGAAAAAAGAAAATAAAAGTGAGAGAGGAGAGGGTGTGATTGATCATTTTAGGATCAAAGTAAATATTTGAAAGGTTTTTGTTGCCAATACAGAGCTTGGTCCCTTTTGGATACTGAGACATGTCTCAAAAGGCTGAAGAAGCTTTAAAGGAAGTGTTGCAAACCAGCCACTTTGAACTCCTCGGCCTTTAGAAGTTGTTTTAGAAATTTATAAGCCAAGAAAGTCCATCGTTCTTAAAAGACTATGAAGAACATAAGGCTGCATTTTGGGTCTGAAAAGAGGCGTGTTTTATTTATTTATTGGGGTATTTTTTCAGTGTTTTAATTGTCATTTGTTCCAAAGCACATGTTTGTAGTGGGCGTGAGGTGTTTAAGACAAATCTGTGCCCTCCACAGCTGCAGACAGATTTTTGATATGTCAACGATGGTCAGTCTTGCCTTAGAAGCTCCACAGCAGAGGCCTCCAGTCCTGGGGTTTCATTTATCAAGCTTGCTTACGCATAAAACTGGGTCGGAAAGCTGCGTAAGCAACTTTCCACACAAACTTTGGGTACCAACCCTGGATTCTAGCCTCAGTTCCTGTCTGCCTGAAGTGTGCCATACTTCCAACGTCGCTCGGTTCCTCTGGCCTCCCGCTCTCCACCGCTCGCCTGTCCTGGATCGTACACTTCTACCTGCTACCCCTCTCCACCAGACAATCTACAGCTCAGACCTGACTTGCCTCCCTCTCCTGCTCAAACCCCCGCTCCGTACCGTAAGACTCCTCCACCATTATCCTGCTGTGTTTTCCTGGTTCTCGGTTTACTGTATTCATCTCGTTATCTTTTGTTTTAGAATCGGAGTTAACCCCCCGGCCCAGTTTGGATCAGCGCCCTTCGTTCTCGTTAATTTTCTTTATAATAAAACATTTGTATTTTTACTTACCTCTCTCTCCGTGTGTGATTCTTTCATGTGGGTAAAGAGACTTCAACCCAGCATGACAATTTGAGGCTAGATCCTTTTAGTTGCCTAGGTTGTTTGTGCTGTTAGTAGCGGACTAGAATTTCTATTCCATAACTACCACATATCTAAGGATGAAAAGAATTTCAGGACTATTTATCAGTGGTGTCCACTGGGTCAAGAGTTTTTCTGCCAGTTAATCACCAAACGCTCTCCCCTTCAGGTTAGTCCTGCAGGTTAGAGTTAGGGTTAGGACTCTCAAGGCCAGAGCTGGGGAGCCCTGGATGGCTTTTCATTTTGGAGATGTTCTGCTTGTATATTTTTTCCAAAGCAACCAGCACGCACAGCTGCAGAACCCCATGAGAAAACACCTGTGCAATATGTTAGCCGAAGAAGAAAACCAGGCATGTTCCAATGTTCATGTTCTGCCAAGGCGCCTGTTCTCCGTTTGTTAGCCATTTAGCTAGCTGAGCAAGGAGGTGTCTTGTAGCCTAGCCTTGGTCAAAAATTTCCTAGAATACTACGCAGTATTTTCAAAAGGATGGCGGATCAGAGGCCAGCAGCTACTTTGGGGGGCAAATTTCAAGTTTAAAAGTAAGACAACTAGTTGTAGCTATCAGGTTGATATCTGAAGTGTTTTTTTTTTTAGATCCAAAGCAGTTGGTTAGTTAGTAGTTGCAGCTTCGGTGGCTAGTAGGTAGTAACTCGCTTACATATTTAATTTAACAAATGTGTACACAATTTTAAAGTAAAATGCTCGTTATATATTTATTTTGAAACTCATACATATAAAATATAACGTTATCTCCCGTGTCACGTAATGCAAGTCTGTTCCATTTAACCGTTTTTCTTTGACCAAGGAAGGACAGTGTCCTCGTAAACAAGGCGCTTGCCTTGCAAGACATCACCTTGCAAGGCAGGCGCCTTGACATTGAGAAACGCCCGGTATCTATTTACCTGAGATTAGGCGGTAAAAATAGACAAATTTCTATTGTTTTAACTTTCTTTTCTGTTTTTGCCAGTAACATATCTGATAAAGCTCATTACTGGTTTAGTTAACCACACCTTGCTAATCTTTAGTTTACTCACCAACAGACCTGGTTAAGCTACTAAACATCACACCTGCTTCTTTTTAAATAGCTACCACATCTGCTTTAACTCATCTCCCTTGTTCGTCTGCCTGTGCGAAAGTGGAGTCCTGCTTTTGATTGGACCTTTGTCAGATCCTTGCATCAGTTTTTCTGACCTCCCTTGGCTCAACATAAGGGACTGTGTGCCCTTGTTGCTTCTGTAAACAAAAGTTACTTTTTTCTTACATCACCTTACCCCTCTTCAGGGGCTTTTCTGCATTACCCAAAACTTCACACGACAGAAACGTCGGCTGAATCAACACCGGTGTTTTTTGTTAGTTTTTTTTGTTACTGAAACAGGAAAAAACAACAACACAACAGGCGTTTCTTATTCATCTGGTGAGCAGCTTCAGCAGGAGTTTGATTTACTGCACCCCGCAGTTCAAAATTAACAAAATCTTAATTATTTAAGAAAGGGCTTAATTTTTTACCAGATAACTGTTTTTGTTTTTAAAATGAGTTCCATTTGAACAGACAAGGCTTTTACCATATCATGCAGCCATAAAAATGTAATACCTACTGTTATTTCTGCCCACACCCATCCATCTACTGAATATCATATTTTTAAAAGAAAAATAATGAGCGTTTTCCTCATACTGTATACTTCAAAGAACCCCAAAATGTTCAGATTGTATGTATTACTTGGACTGCAGCACTAATGGTCCTGCAGCTAATAAAATAAGCTCTATACCATGACTGGCACCCAGCCAGAAATAGATATATTTAAATGACAATGATAGAAACTAACTACTCGTATACAGGCCCTCGGGTTTCAGGGTTTGCATGATCACAGCAAAGTTCTGCCAGAAAGAAATGGATTTTCTTAAAAGTACCTTAGACTTTGAATTTCCTGGATCTTCACTGATAGCTTTTGGTCCTTTAATGGTCCTGGAAATGCCGTGTTACCATAGAAACACGTCCGCAGCTCCTTTGTAAAACCTGTTTTGGCCCCGCTTGATTGTGAAAAGGCAGCGCTTGAGTCTGACAAGCAACAGTTGGATCAGTGGCTCTAAAAATACACAAGAATCGTCCCTACAGGAGAAAATAAGAAATCAAATCCAGTTTCAATCCAGTTTCAGTTTCAGTTCACCACCTCTAAACAAAACGCACTAACTAAAGCCAAGAAATTAGGTTTTCTGAGATTTAAGTGTTTAAAAAGCTAGAAAGAGACAAAGAGGGAGAACCAATGGAAGGAGATCCCCCTAGCCCCCCCCCCCCCCCCCCCCCCCCCCGGCTCCCTCTGATGGTCCAAAATAGAGATGAAGAGGGAGGTTGAAAGAGGAGCGGAAAGGGGGGAGAGGACTTGTTTTAAAGAAGCCAACAAGCAAAATACAAGCAAGACAAAGAGAAAAAAGTTGAAAATAAAGTTCTACAAGTCTCTTGTGCAGTGTGTCTCAAACATACAGACCTCATTAATCATCATCTAATGATGGCAGCAGCTGGGAGCAGAATAATTAATCAGTGTTTATCCCTGTGAGAGGCACATTTCTGATCTCACCTAATGTAGAGTGCATTAAGACCTTACAGCAAGAACACTTTCATTGATTTAAGTCTTGCTGAGTTTTTAAATGATTTGGCTGATAAAAAAACAAGACATTTATATTTAGTTCCATATCTCATTTCCATAATTTAGGACATCCCTTCTTTTCCTTTAAAATTAACAGCTTTAACTCTTTAAATATCCAACATTGTCCTATAATTTATCATGCAGAAGCTTGTTATACTTTAAGGAACCAGGTTGGTCGGCTAGGGGCCAATCGGAAGAGTAAATAAGTGAATAAATATAGCAAAGCCCTTGTGAGAAGCTTAAATGTTGGTGTTTGTGTGTCTATACGTGAGAGCTGTGGGAAGGAGAAACCTGACCCCCGGTCTTGCCCTGGGAGCCTGCACTGCAGAGGCTATAATTGGAGATACAGACAGCAGCTGGTGTCAACGCTGGACCGGACTGCTTTAGATGTAGGGCGCACTGAGGGGGCTGAAGGACCAAACACACAAACGTAGGCTCTCTGAAACCACACACCTAGACGAAAGAGATTAAGGTGGAATGGAATGGTTTGGGGGTGACGATCGGATTAACTTTGAGCTCTAGATCTTAAATAACTTTATCTCCCGTACTGCACAACAAATGAGTTCCCTAGAACATCCCAATGAAATTGGTACCAAATTCTTCATCATGAACAGTAAGGACTAACAGGTTAAGACAGCTTATCCTCACCTAAAAGCAGTGTCCACAAAATAAGTCCAAAGCTCCCTGTTGTGTTGATTAGGGCGGATATTTGTTGACTCTGAAGACTGCAGCGGACAATATGACAAATCATTTTACTACTCATCAACCTATCCTGTGGCCACGCTTGTACGGCTTGTACTCACAGATGAGTCATCATGGAAGAGATCATTCCCATCAGGATATAAATGTTTCAATACAGGGAGTCAGTGTTAGATTTGATCTTCACTGGTGCTTCCCTTCATGAATTTCATCACAGGAAAGGGATGCAACATTAACTTTACATTTTAGAAGAACATGGATCACTTTTCTGCAAAGAACAATTTGATGGCATCTCTGGTAACATCTTGAGAAATAATTATGGATAATCTATCCTGCTGTTCATACCCCTGAGAGGCACCTTCACCTGTAGGAAAGCATCCTATTTGTTTCAGTCGCATCTTGCTCATCCTTGTTTTATCCTGGGGATGAAATTGGAAATAGGATATTTGAATTACACCCCTAGCCTAGCCTGGGAATGCCTTGGGATCCCATTGGGGGAGCAAGCAGGAGTAGCTAGGGAGTGGATAGTCTGGACTTCCACGCGAACGCATTTGACCCCACATCCCAGACCTGGAAACGCAGAAGATAACAACAAAAACAACATAACATATCATCTAGTGTGGTGTTATATTTTATTGTATAATATCATCACATCGTATCTTATTGTATCACATTGTGCCGTCTTATTGTTTCGTATTGCACCGCAATTAGTGCAAAGTGTTACTTGTTGGAGATGCAATAAAAATTAATTAGCAAGTTTGTAATGTCACCTTATAAATGTTAATCATACGTAAAATAGTCCAAATTCGTTGGTGTGCTCTCTCTTAAAGGGATACTATGCAACTTTCATATATTTAAATAATTTTCTTGAGCCAGTGTGTACTAAAATGACCCTTTCCAGCAGTGAAGCTCAACTGGCGGCCCCCGGGCCACATCCCGCCCACCAGACCTTTCCACCTGGCCCTCCGACCCTTTGGACTCTAACGTCAGCAGTAGCTCAACAGGTTGAGCGGGTTGTCCAGTAATCGGAAGGTTGCAGGTTAGATCCCGGCTCCGTGGGCAAGACACTTAGCCCACCTTGCCTGCTGGTGGTGGTCGGAGGGACCGGTGGCGCCTGTGCTCGGCAGCCTCGCCTCTGTCAGTGCGCCCCAGGGCAGCTGTGGCTACATCGTAGTTCATCACCATCAGTGTGTGAATGTGTGTGAATGAATGAATGACACAATGTACTGTAAAGTAGGGGTTGTATCAACTAGTTGACTTCACTGCTCTGTAGTGACTTTTTATGCCTTTCATAGTCTAGTCGCGGTCACGTGATAATGACCGACAAGATGCAGTCCGCGGAATAGAGATCAGTTGACGAGCATCTGTGCGTTGAGAGGCGACGTGCTGTGCTAGAGCGTCAGTATCTGATGCCCGCTGTAAAAAGGATATTTGACCGAATTGTTAACCTCTTGCAATTTAACCTTCCCCTCACCCCATCCTAACCTTAACCAGCTTGCACATGCAAAGCTCTGATTGTTGACGCGCTCCAGACATCTGCGTCCTGAGCACGGCCACGGCTCATAATCAAATCAGGTGTCGCCATCTCAAAAACAAATTTAACACACGATCGTTCATGCTGGCTCATTTCCTTTTATGTTTTCTGTCTTTTACTTGTGCCTGATGCGTTTCGCTGCTGTGGAGCGGGGCGCATCACCTGTTTTGTCCTCCGGTGACGCACCTCACCGGTGCGGCCGGCGCGCACTCCGCTGTTTTTGCGGTCGATAGATCTTTTAGAACTGCAGTTCAAAGGTAACTCATGAGGTGAATATATATGAACCCAGGTAGCAGTTTTTCTTTAGGATTGAGAGGAGATGCAGTAAGATAATAAACAGAGACAGGACAGAAAAATAGTCAAATAAAAACAAGTTAGTTTTTGTACCTGGTGGTTGCAACAAACAGACACCATTGAAGGTAATCAGAAGTGAGGAACAGAAAATGAAATAATTATTTTAATGTTTAGAGCAGCAGGAACTCTGAGAGGCTGCAGGCGCATCAGTGAGTTTGCGGCCGCTGCCCAGGGGGAGGGGGGAGAGGGCTGAAGCAAGATGCAGAAACTAGCGTTGTTAAAAGCGACATGTTTAACTTAGAAAATGTGGGCGCAATTTTAATTTTCAAAAACTCCAGCGAACCAACCAAATCTTCCCCAAGCTGTAAAAAGCAGCAGATGCCGATGCGTTATATTTGGAAGTCACATGTGCCCCATAATCATAAAAATCAAAGTAAAATATTAATTTGAAATTTAAAAAGAGATTTATATATGTATATTAGGGCAGCAAAATATATCAGAAATATATCGTTATTGCGATATCAGCATGTGCAATATGCATTTTGCAAAGAACAGATAAATATCAGAATGAATGGTCAGCTCAAATGTTTGATAAACAAACTGCATTCTGTCAATCAATCAGAAGCATGAAGATTTTTTAAAACAAATCAAATAGAGCTCTTCAGCCATTTGGCCAACTGGATGGGCTCCCATAAGTTAGATGCCCGCCCCAGAGGTGGACGGCACTTAATTTCGATGGTTAGCAAACACCTGAGTTGGCTTTGTTCTGCTCTTTCTGCTGATTCTGCTTTTCCCGGGACCCACTGGTTGCCTTTTCATGTTCATTTTCTTTTTCCCTTTCCACACATCTATTGCTTTTCTCGTTTTTATGATTATTTTTTGTCATTTTGTCATTTCTTTGTTTTTGATTATTTTTGTTCCTGAGTTAAGTTTTTATTTATTGCAAGTAATATCGTCATCGCAATATTGATCAGTGTTATCGCATATCGCAGGTATTCCTAATATTGTGCAGCCCTAATGTGTACAGGGAGTGCAGAATTGTTAGGCAAGTTGTATTTTTGAGGAATAATTTTATTATTGAACAACAACCATGTTCTCAATGAACCCAAAAAAGTCATTAATAGCAAAGCTGAATGTTTTTGGAAGTAGTTTTTAGCTTGTTTTTAGTTTTAGCTATTTTAGAGGGATATCTGTGTGTGCATAAACAAAGCTGCTGTGCCTACTGGTGTACAAACATTTGTACAAAAAAGTACATTTTAACAATGTTGTATGGCTGTTTTAGAATATTTGAATTAATTGCATGTGTTCATCTTTATATGTTTGTATATAATTATACAGTTTCCAATGATAGCTTTTTACTGTTGTAGGTCTAATTTCAAAGTTTGTCAGCCCTCTGGGGCACCCTTGTTGTCCTCTTGTGGCCTGGGGACCCCAAGCAGTTGCCTGCCTTGCCTGTCGGCACACAGCGCCTCTGGTTGTTGATTAAGAGTAAAAATCTTCTACCTAAAACATATTTTGTAAATATATTTAAAAGTTACCAACAGCCAAGTGAGAAAGTGGCTTCAGTGTGTCATGACCCACTTGTGGGATCCTGAGCCCACCTTTGAGAACCACACTGCTCTACAACATGGATGAAACCTGTGGTGCCGGATGAGGACCTGCAGACAGCTGCAGGGCTCTAACCACACAGACGACAAGGACACTGCGGGTGTTCGTACCACAAGTCATAGGCCTACATCAACCATCTGTCGCTCCATAACCCTACTCTCGGTTACCGTCTGACGTTTTCACCTCCACACTTTCACTTTTTCTCTCCGTTTGCCACCCTTCTATCCACCTCTAACTGTACATCATCCCGTCACCCTTTGGTCCTTTCAGCCCACTCCTTCCTTTAACTTCCTAGTTTGTCCTTATTTCTGTTCAAACAACTTTTTCTCCTTTGCTTTCCCTCCAACTCATTTATTCCTTTCACAAACTTTCCCTGTCACTTTCTTCTTTCTAACTTTGCCGTACCCCTCTTCCACACACACACACACACACACACACACACACACACACACACACACACACACACACACACACACACACACACACACACACACACACACACACAC